CTTCAATATTATTTCTAGAAAACTTTACAAAACACCGATTTATTAAGATTTTTATTGAAATTATTTTGTTCATGATTTTCGTTAATATGTATATTTTAAGAGATATTTGCAAAAAAACGAAGAAAACGCCAAAAATGTATGAATTTTTAGTGGGCAGAAACTTGAAAAGTATTAGTTTTTTTGAAAAACTATAAAAGCTATTTGAATTTATATATTTGAAAACTATTTTTTTCTTATAATTAGTTTAATTTGAAAAATTGTTATTACACAATTGAGAAGGGGTGTCATCCCCCGGGGGGTGGTAGCGGAACCCGAATTGTTTCCACTTTTGAACTTGAGAGTAAGATGAACCTAATTCCAAAATTCCATGCAATTTGGAGCACAGTAAAAAAATTCATACCCAAAACGCTCCGTTTACTGCACTAAATATATTTAACGAATTCTTAAGACTGTCTTTGTAAGTTGAACAGCTTTTTAGAAGTTGACTAAATATAGTTCTTTACAGCATTAATGCAAGAAGTAATTACACTGAATTTTTTTTTATCTGTATCTATTTAAACTAAGAGCTAATGGTTATTAAAATTATGTGGCGCTAGATACTTTAAACCTGATGATAATTTTGTAACAAAGTTATCATTTTTATAATTTATAATATGATCATATTCATGAACACTTAACATGTTGAATTTTTTGCTATCATATTTAATTGATGCTAAGTAAGAGTCGATGAATATGTCATCTAACCACTCATTTCCATATAAAGTAAAAAAATTATTCAATTTAATGTCATATTTACCAAAAAATCCTCTAGTATACAATATATCCCTATTATACATGAAGGGTTTTATATAGAAATTATAATCTATAGCTACATTTCCTTTCCTTTCAGTTTCCTTTGCATCTCTAATATCTACTGTCGTGGTGTTACGATCCTTATTTAATTTTTCAGTTACTTTTTTTTACTGTGTTGCTTTTTTTCACTTTTTTAATATTGTTTACCATGCCTAACTTCTCCTGACTTGCATTTCTTCTTTTTTTTCTATTGTAACTTTCGTTGCTTTTCTCAGGATTAAGTTTCTATGTTACAGGGCATTTCTTTATTAAATCATTATTGGCAAGTCGCAACTCACCTCTTAATTTCTTCACGAAACGTCTTGCTTCCATATATTTATCACCATGGCAGATATTGTTCTTTAATGTATTAAAAAATGATTCGACAGCAGCATTTGAGTACAAATGTTTTCTGTCATTATCTAACATTAGACCTGACAACAAAGGTATAATTGGAATATACCTGTCCATTACCTAATTTAAGAAACCTGGGAAGAAAAAACGATTAATAAATCCTTCTTTCGGCATAATCTTTTCGGTTTCGCATTTAATACAAGGAAATCTTTATAAAATAGACTATTTCGTAAAAGATCTCGATATGGCTCACGATCATTTGTTATTTCTGAAACATCATTATCAGTCAAGATTGTCTTGTCTGATACTGAGTCATTATTTTCAAATAGATTTATTTTCTTGATCGCTAAATCTATTTGTACATTATGATACTTACTACCTAAAATCCACACAATATGAGTGAACATTTTTCGAGCATGGTTTAAATCTCTACATCTTTCACCTAAAAGAAAAATAATTGAGCTTACAGCTACAGATATTATTTCCTGATTACCATTTGCAAATTTTTTTGCATGATATGACAGCCTTTTATGTGAAATGACTGCAACATAAATGTAATGTTATGTTTTCTGTAAAAAGTTTAGAACTATTATCATTTAAAAACATATAGCACTTATTAATATAATCAATCAAATTTGTACTATTGCAACCTTGGATTATCGCATGAATGCTGTGAACGCAAGCAAACCTGTGAAGGTAGATTGTATACTTTACCAAAATTTTCATATGATTCAGGAAATTCTGTTATCATATCTTCGAACTGCTCAAGACGACATGCTGCCGGTTTTTGATGTTTAAGTTTTTTTTTTAAATCATCTCTGTCTTTTCCTCTAAGAATTGGATTAGTATCTGTACCATGATTAAGTATACCTTCAGGTATGATTATAATTTCTTTAATCATTTTTTGATGAGGATCAAATTTAATGTGAGCATTAAATATCATGCAATTTCCAACATCCTTTTCCTCCTTTTGATTGCGATTCTTGGGACAATGAGCTCTAATATGAGCACCTTTTTTATTTACTCGTGCATAGCGAAAGTTCAAATCGCAAGGATATATTGCAGCTTTCCTAAAACACTTTAAAAATGCTTCTTTATAAAATTTATATCTGTACCATCTACAACATGGAATAAATCTTCAAATTGGAGATCTAAAGAAAATGGCTCATTTTTCTTCGGGATTTTGTCGGTAACACTCATTGATGAGTTATCGATTTTACTATATTCTAAAGCACTATTTGAATCATCAGAAAAATTGCCAATCATCGTGCTTGACAAAACATCCATTTTTGTAACAATATAAGATGGTACAAAGGAAATATTCTAAAAATAAAAAACTAAAATTTAATAAGGCTAAATTAGGATAAGTATAATTATGTAAAAAAATTATTTTGTATCTTATAAATATAATTAATATGCTTCACCTTAATATTGTTATATTATTAACTTGATAACTTGAAAAAGTTTCGCTATAACACCCTAAAACGAAAACATAAAAACTCGTTAAAATAATAATAAGTTATTAATAAATAATATGCCTCACCTTGATAGTGATCTTTATATTATATGTATTAATATTCAAGGCAAAATGTCTTGTGTATCTTATAAATATTATGCCTTGCCTTACCTTAATATATTATTCCGGTCCGCGTGAAAAAACTCTATCTTAATACTACTTCTGTATAATCTTCATTATAAACGCACTGAACGTACTAATTACATTAAATTAATAATATGATTAAATATAAACTATTATTGGAAATTATCAACTACGTTATAATATTATACCAATTGATACGTCTCAGCGCGTTCTCAAATTCCAAATGAGCTAGTCTCGCGACTGCAAGCCTGGCATGGAATCGCACACACACACACAACACACGCGCGCACCCAACCACTTGAGACAAGGAGTGTCGCGCGCGCTCGCATGCTAACGCGTCGATCAGCCACGACCAGCTACGATACTGCGCGAACTTGGTACGGCTAGTGTTAGTATTATCGAGGCAAAGATCGATATTGAATACTTTGAAAAGTATCTAATCAAAATATCGATGCCAAAAAAATATCGTGGCGAAAGTATCGATAGTATTCAATATCGAATTTTGAGTACTTTTCATAAAAATCAAACATAAGTGCAAGAAAGATCTAAATCTCATTAAATATCATATCACAATATTAGAATGAATTCTGTTGCTCGTATCTGATGTGTTAAATCAGAATCATTTTCAATATTGTAAAATTTTAACAGTAATTTTTCAATACTAATTTCAAATTCTATAATTTTTCAAAAAAAAGACAAGTTATAATAGTTGAGTATTTTTGATTAAAACAATATAATAGTCTGATACTAAATTCAAAAACCAATACTTTTTAAGTATTTTTAAGCACAATAATATTTTTAATATTTTTAAGTAAAATAATATTTTATAATTGTTGAATATTTTTATATGAATAATTTTAGCGAGCATGCAACTTTCAAAAACCGTTACATGTTTACATAAAACTACAATATGACTCTTTGGAAAGCAATAAACATTCAGTTTAATGACGGCCAAGATATATTATCTTCGACACTTGTAGAGAAACATCCCTTCGGAGCGATGGTATTTAAAGTTTAAATGGCTCCGAGAAACTCAATCCCATATGTTTGCATGTTGAAATTCAAAAATTTCAAAACATGAGTATTTTGCGTTAAAAAAGAGTCGAAATATAATTATTTCAAATAAAAATACTCATTCATTTTAGTATATTAGTATTTTGCGTAAAAAAGAATCGAAATGTAATTATTTCAAATAATAATATTCATCAATTTCTATATATTAGTATTTTGCGTAAAAAAGAATCTAAATATAATTATTTCAAATAAAAATACTCATTCATTTTAGTATATTAGTATTTTGCGTAAAAAAGAATCGAAATATGTATAATTATTTCAAATAATAATATTCATGCAATTCTATATATTAGTATTTTGCGTAAAAAAGAATCAACAATTATAATACATTATTTTTCCTGAAAGAGTATAGAATAGAATATATATATAGAATAGAATTATAAATAATATTGTAAATCGATATAACAATCAATATGAAAGACGCAATACGTTGCTGACTCACAGCTCATAGATTGTATTAGAGATAAGCAACATTGTAAGCATGCACGTGCACCAATCTGTAACCGCAACTAAGCCTAAAGTAAACAAGTATGAATCATTTTAACGTATTTTTCTAGAAGGATGATTGCGTCATCATCAGAGATTATAAAAAGCCTGAAGAGGAGGGAATGTGTGTTCATTCATCACTTACTTGCCAAACAGTTCACATCACTCTTATCTTAAAATATCAATTGTGTATTAAGTGTAACCAAGTAATGAATTAAATAAAAATTAATAAAAGTCTTCAGATGTTTGATTAAATATTCCACAGTGGTAAAGTTTATGATAAGCAGCAGAAGAACCTAAATTTTAATTGTTGACATCGTTGGTGACTCAACATAATTGTTGGCAAAGGATCCACAACATATTTGTTGACAGCCCAGGGGTGCACAACAATATATATATATATATAGGTATATAGGTATATATGCATTAGTATAAATAAAAGTACTTGTTTATTTCATAATTATTATTATAATTAACATATTAATAAAAATAATCATAATAAATGTTTACAATGAATATAATATATTTACAAAATAATTAAAAAATACAAATTAAATAATTATTGAACATATAAAACGAAAAAAAATGATTAATAACACTTTTATATAATTTCTATATATTTATTATATATTTATTCATATAATGAAAATAGCATTTAGTGAAACCATTCCTCTTCCGGTCGTCCTGCTAAAAATAACAGCATATTTAAATTTTCTGGTTTTAATCGGTTTCGCCTTTCTGTCATTATAGTACCAGCTTCGAAAAATAATCTTTCGGCTGGTACAGACGTAGCAATAATGGTGGCGTATTCTCTAAATTTATTATACAAATCGGGGAAAATTTCCTTCATGTCTTCCCAAGATTCTATTGGGTTGCTTGTTAAAGGCGTGACTGGATTATTTAGATATAAATCTATTTCATCACGCCTTTTATTTCCTTTTTTTTTCTCTGATGCTATTTTTTTGTGTAACTGCCAAAAGTCGAAACTGTCTGGCGTGACATCAATATCTAAACTTGTTGTAGAGTTGTCCAAACAAATTTGATTTCTCAGCGCATTCATTGCATTTGAGGCAGCATTGGCGTTTTTAAAATGGAAATTCTTAAAGCGAGGATCTAACAGTGTGGCTATAGCCATTGGTAAATTTTCTTCCAAATTCAAAAACCGCTTGCTTGCAGTGTCAATTAAAGCTTGTTTTAATTTGACACAAAGGCGCGATTTTGGTTGTATCGCGCGCAGTTGTGCAAGAAGGCAATTAATTAGAGGTATAACCTTCGACACCGTAATATAGTATTCACCGGATAATTCTCTAGTTATATACTCCAGCGGCTGCAGTAAATTAGATAATTCTCTAATTGTTTCAACTTCAGCCGCTGATACAATGACGGGAGCATTCGCATCACTAATTGTAATTTGTGCGACATATGGAGCTAATTTTAAAAATCTTTCTAGCATATAGTAACACGAATTCCACCTTGTTTTCATATCTAAAATGAGCTTCAAAGGCTCATGTGAACTTTCACATTGAGCCTTTTTCAGCTTATCTGACGCTACCACACTTTTTTTAAAATACTTAACTAAGTTTCTTACTTTTTTAACAAAATTTATGACTTCAGGATCAGCAAGTGCTTTATCTGCAATTAAATTAATGCTATGAGCGAAACAAGTTTGGTGCCTTTCAGTTAATCCATATTCATTAAAAAAATTACGCACAGCACATATCATATTACTGCCGTGATCGGTGATAATAGCTGTTATTTTATTTATATCCAGGCCCCATTCCTGTATTACATATTTTAGTTTATCCTGTATATATTCTGCCGTATGCCTCTCCGATAAATTTATTGTTTCTAAATTAGACGACGCTAGAAATTTATTATTTAAATAATGAATAGTTATTCCAAGGTAACTCGTCATATTTAAAGTGTCGGTCCATATGTCGCACGTTAAACTATAAAAAGGTTTATCCTTAAGGTCGATGACTAATGAATTTTTTAACGAATGGTATTTATCATTCATAAGTTTTTTAAAATGTGTATCAGAAGGTATTTTGTAATTGTTTTACATCGTTTTAATTAATTTAATAAATCCTTTTCCATTTACCGTATGAAAGGATTTGTGGTCTACACAAATGTAATGCAGGATTGCATTCGTTATAATATTATGTTTATCGCCACCGTGTTGAACCGAAGTGCGCGCTTCAAAAGCACGCGAAATTGGATTAACCAGGTTTTCCTCAGGCACATCGACGTATTTCTGCCCTTTTGCCGGTACTTCATTTCTAAAACAATAGTTTTACATTAGCAATAAAAAATTTTTTCATAAAAAAGAATTTATAGTTGTTAACTTATCACATCCAAACTAACTTTTTTAATAAAATAAACTTAAAATATAGCCTCTACGATTATTTTTTAAAATCCAAAATAAATACTGCGTTTCTGATACAAATAAACTTGAATATAAAATAATTACCTGCAAAAATCGGTCATTGTTGAAGTACTAGGAGAGGGTTCGCTATTCTTATATGAAACATTTGGATGGCGACTTCTTTAGTGTTTCATTAAGTTTGTAGTATTACCACATGTTTTCAATGTTTTAATTCACAACTTGCACTTTGCTTCATTCTTGTTCTTCTTTTCAAAAAACTTCCACATAGCACTACTACTCATTTTTATTTATTTTTATTTAGACACAAATAAAAAATTTAAAGATTTAAATGAAGTTATTTTAAATTGTTAAAAATAATTCAACAACTTGCAATAACAACTGTAAAAAACGACCAAACTATGAAAATTCTCTAAACGGCAAACACATAAAGTTAACTACTTGACTGATGAACTAAGAATGATTTGTCTCGAAAATATTTTCAAATATTTTTCAGTGCAAACAATTGCCACAAGAACCAAATTAATTTATTATTTTTTAAAAGTTTTTTGCCCACCATACTAAAGAAAGTATTCTTTAGTTTTGTTGTCATTCATTCAGAAAGGGTCAGTTGAAATCCGATTCCTAAAATATGTTCGTAATGTGCACAAACTGAAGACGAGAATTTTAAGATTCACGTACCACAAAGAAAATATTGCTCTTCTGTTCTTTTTTAAATTGTTTATTTAATTTTTAATTTTCAAGTACTTTACTCCAACTTACAATTCACATACTTTTAGAAAGAAAAATAATAAAGCATTGAAATCGATGAGTATTATTACTGAAATAATTATATTTCGATTCTTTTTTACGCAAAATACTAATATATAGAAATTCATGAATATTATTATTTGAAATAATTATATTTCGATTCTTTTTTACGCAAAATACTAATATACTAAAATGAATGAGTATTTTTATTTGAAATAATTATATTTCGTTTCTTTTTTACGCAAAATGCTAATATATAGAAATTGGTGAATATTATTATTTAACATAATTATATTTGGATTCTTTTTCACGCAAAATACTAATATATTGAAATTGATGAATATTATTATTTGAAATAATTATATTTCGATTCTTTTTTACGCAAAATGCTAATATATAGAAATTCATGAATAATATTATTTGAAATAATTATATTTTGATTCTTTTTTACGCAAAATACTAATATATTGAAATTGATGAATATTATTATTTGAAATAATCATACTTCGATTGTTGAATATGTTTTTATAAAACATTTTGGTATTTTAAAAAGTCGTTTCATTTTACATAAGGGTAATAAATAAACATCTTTATTTATTAGTGTGGTCATATTCATTTTGGGTTTTTGAGCAATAAATTCTGAGACTAATGACACCCTTCGGGATCATTTTTTGACATTTCTTTGAACAGTTATGACCACCTATAGAGACTATTGCATTGTACTTCGCAAAATGAGTGGTTTTCATAGTGGTGTTCATAGATTACGCTGTCGATTCTTTTTGAGTACTATCGACGAAAAAGATCGATATTGGCAAATAGATCGAGCTAAAAAATCGATACCAAAAGTACTCACTATCGACCGCAAAGTATCGATATTTACTCAGTACTCGATATTTTGTTCTAACACTAGGTACGGCCTGAGTCACACACACACACAAGCAGCACGCAACAATGCTGCCAATTTTCAATTGGAGTATATATAAAGTTAATGAATAATAAGAAACTCTACACAGTTTATGTAGCTACTCTTCATTAGAAAATTCTAAGAAAATAATAAGAAAAAAAGAATAATAAGAAATTCTATACAGTTTATTTAGCTACTCTTCATTACAAAATTCTAAAAAAATACAATTATTGAATCTATTCTACCTATTTAATCTATTTTATGTATTATTATTTTATGTAAAATTTATTAATGTTTTGATGATGGAAGACGCTAAATCAAATTTTTCTTTGGTGAGGTCACTGGCATTCTAGTTCTGGTGAGACTGGCCTCGACCACGACCACCGCGGCGGCCTATGCTGCCTCTGTTGCCTCTGCTGCCTCTGTTGCCTCTACTGCCTCTGTTGCCTCTGCTGCCTCTGTTGCCTCTGCTGCCTCTGGCCTCTGTTGCCTCTATTGCCTCTGTTGCTACTACTGCCTCCAGAAGGGAGGAAATTGCTCCGCGGTGGCTTTCTGCCGCGCTGAGTTCTTCTGCCTCGTCCACCGCGTACTGAGTCTTTCCAATTTACGGCATCGTACCGGGACTAAAGTAATAATATTATAACAACTTATAGCTAAGTATATTTACGAATGTATTTATATAATATTATATAAATGCTGCATTACCTTGTCAAGATAAATTCGAAGGCTAACGCCCTCAGTATTTATCATTATTTTATTGAATAGGTCAATAAATATATTTGTGTGGTATGGCATTTCAAACGGCAGCAAAGCCACCGTCTTCCACTCTGCTCTGATTGCTGCCTGAATTTTGTTCAACACTTCTCCAACTATCTGGAGCTCGCAATCTGCCATAAGAAAAATCATAATGAAAAATTGCTTAAATTTGTATATAAGTTCCTTATATATACTTATATATAAGATGTAGATTTTTTAGTTCGTATACAGCACGCACATAATGCCACTGCATGTTCCAAGTAGATTGTGGTCCAGGCGACGTCCCCGACACCGTCCGGCCTCGGATTTTCAGTATTAAATCTATCACAGCAAAAAATAGAAATATGTACAAGTCTTGAAGAATAAAGAATTGGATTTAAATTACTTACATTGTTATTTTTCCATTTTTGATTTTTTGTGACTACCCGTGACTAAAATCAGTACGTACTCCACGGATATCGTTTGCAACGTGGAGAATTTTAACACCTTTGCAACATCTTTAGTTAAGACTACAGAAAATGAGATTATAGAGATATTATATATATATATATATATATATATATATATATATATATATATTAAATTATACTTGAATTAAAAAGTAAACAAAATATAAGTCCAAATAATTTAATTTATCATCACAATTACCTCAAGAATAAGGATTTGGATTTTTATTATGTCCACCTTGCCTTCTTATTTTGCCAAAAAAGTCTTCCAGGGTGTTCTGATTAAAATTTTGCATACGCAAGTGATTAAATCAATTAATTGAATTTGAATTTTTCCCAAATATGTTCCAAATCATCTATGATTCTAATTTAATTTTCAATTGTAGAAGTTTTCATAATGATTGTAATGTAATCTGTTTTAATAAAATGCATTGAGAATAACACTTGCATTGCAGTTTGACACAGAATTATGATTAATGGCATAACGAAATATATTGTCATTTGTTGGAAAATGAGCTAAATAATTGACATTATCAAAAAGACAATTCATGAACTCCAAAAGTTTATCAGTACCTTCTGAAGTAGTGCTCACATTTGTTTCATGAGAATGTACTGAAATGATATGGGTTGTTGTTGTGGGGTTGATTGGATTGGGTTGGGTTCCAAATGTAGATTGATCCACTCTCCAAGGGGTGCTAGATCAGTCCAACCTTGTTCTGGTGTCGTGGGCAGAGCTTAGAGTTTATAATAGGAAATAACAACACTGGTATGAGTCTCCTCAGAACCGTGAGCACTTTATATTGGTATAGGCTGAAAGATGTCTTTACGCAAAGTAGAATACAAACACTGAATCTAAATTCGACTATAACTTTATTTAATCTTTAATAACTTCACATCACAAACTAGCATAGATTCGTGCTAAGACATACTCTAACTTACAATATGAAATCTTACTCTATTTATTACTAACAGTACGTGAGAATATCCCGGAAGTGGCGCGTTGTGGAAAACTTCTCTGCCCTTGCAATGCTCTTGGACTTTGACTGTATAGCATAGAGCACGTATTATTCATGTTATTACATAACACGCCATTCTTGGTCCTCCCCCTAAAGGATATTCTTGGTCCTCCAAAATAAAAAAAAATAAAAAAAAATAAAAAAAAATTAAAAATTACAAAATTTTTGATGTTCTTCCCCTCTAAAAAAAAAATTTAT